TTACATTATCTATATTATAATCTTTTTTTTATACTTTTTTATATATTATATTCATTTTTCTAATAAATGTAATTTATGCCTACAATATATATTTTAGACGATATATATGTTTAGAGGATTACATATGACAATTTTTTCACTGCAGGATGATTTTCGTAATTATTATTTTTTTGATAATTTTTCTGATTGTATTACAATTGTAAGTTGTTATAAAAAAAAATAATGATACGTATATGGTTTAAGTGCATGTATATTTCTTTAATTACTAAAACTACAGAAAGTTGTTTGATTTCATGAGAGTAATTTAATGACATATTTTTTTTATTTGTAACATGCAATCTGGAAGGTAAAAAATAATTTAATTTAATTACACTAATATGCTTTTATTTATTGGAACGATGACACTCCGAATTTTAGAATTTTAAAACAATATACAACCAAATAAAGAAACTTTATTATCTTGAGATATATACTAATAAATTAAGACTTAATTTAAATTTATATATATAAAAAAAATATCTATTTTTGTGAAATTTTTATAGGGAGAAATGTAACACTTTTGAATATTCTCTAGAGCAGATATTTTAGAATATAAAGTTTCATGGAAACAAGTTATTTTAGAACGTTTAATTAAAAGCAATTTTTATATTCGAGTATTATTCATTGAATAGCATTCAGTGTCAGTATTTGCTACAAATTTTGAGAGTTTTTTTAATATTGATAAACAAGTTATCTCTTCCTTTTTATTTTTACATTTTCTATGTTCCATTCTGCCTGAAACTTTTATTTTTAAGAATATTCATTTATCTACTCTCATCGAGACTTGCAATGTAAGACCATTTTTTAGAAAAAAATTCTATGATTCATGTTTCAAATAAAACCTATCTAAAAAGTTCTTTAACTTTTTCGATTCCTGGTTGTAACTCCGAAAACCTCCGCTTCTTTCAATAACTTTTTTTCTTGATTTCTTCATATAACTCTGGGATTATTTTATTTGCTAATATATTTTCTTGTAAAAATTCAAGACTCAAAATGGTTAATTAACTTTGAAAAATGGAACCCTCGACCTTTCTATCATTACGATAGATCTGGTTACATTTAAAAAAAAAAAACTAATCGAAAGTTCATAAAACATCTTCATCCAACATTCGAGTTACACATAAATCAAATATCCTTTATTTACGCTATAAATGATTTTTTATTCATCGATCTTATAATTTTTCTTATCGGGGTTTCGAGAGTTTCGAATCACGAGAAAAGTACAAAATTTCGAATTTTCAAAACTCGAAACTTTCTTAAGTTTTGAAGATTTCAATGTTTCGAGTAATCTAGCCGTAATTATATTATAGCTAATAGATAGTATCGATTGCATAGAATTATATTATAGCTATAGATTGTATATATTTTGTATGTAGAAGTGACAAAAAATTTTTAGCTACTTTCATTAATCCCTTTTTTGAATATTTCTCTTCCAATAGTGCATTAAAATCGAGAAAAATATGAAGAATTCAAATAACTTAAAAATAAGGAATGATAACATACGGTAAGTATATTTTTCATAAAAAGTTTTAATAAATGCTGTATTTTGTATTGCTGTTGACTTTATACCTCGATAAAACCCAACGCGCAGTATAAAGCATAAATTATTAAGTTGTAAAAGAAAATAAAGAGTGATTTTTTTCATTTGCGTTAATTTATAATAGAAATTTATAATAATGTAATTCGTTTAATTCGTAAGCACATTTTTGAAAAAAAACTTTCTAGTTGATAAATTTAAATTAAATATTATATGGATTACTTAACTGATTTGCATTATTCTATAAACAAAATCCGTTAAATTTATTGAAAATTTTAATAAAAATGGATCACTTATTTTTTTGATTATATTAAATTAATATTTGTAAGATACTGATTCAAATTAGAGCTTTAATTAATATTTGTACTATAAACATTGAATAGTATGTTTTAAGAAACACAACCGTATCTAAAAGAAATAGTAACAGTGCAAATGTGTTTTAGCTGGTCTTTGAAATACATTGTCAATGGAATAACGTAAAATCATATTTTCTGGACAGCGCTTGTGAAATGCAATATGTCTACCTCTCAGGAAAAGAGTCTCTTAATTAATAACATTTTGAATTCCTTATATAAAATTGTTGACTATATCAAAATTTCTTTTTAATTTAGTGATTTTCGCGAATTATTTGATATGTAAAATGAGTTTTTGCGTGAAAAAAACAGGTGGTAGGATGTGGCATGAAGCACGGAAACAGGAAAAGAAAATTCGTGGAATGTTGGTAGATTATCGTCGTAGAGCTGAACGTCGACGAGATTATTATGAAAAAATTGTAAGAGGAACTGAATGAAACAGTAATTTTTATACAAGCTCCGTTGAAATTACTAAACTTAACGTTATTCTTTTTGTAATAAGATCTAAACTTTCATTTTCCTCTTTTAATTGTTAACCTTAAATTTATTTCCAAATTTATCATAGTTCCTATAATTATTAATAGTAACTTAAAAACGTCTCTGACTAAATTTCATTTCGTTTTTATCATATAGTCATGTATTCATGATATGTCATATATAATGTTCATACAATAAATACAGACATATTTTTTCATTTATATCTTTTATTTTATTGTGTGTACATTGTATTTAAATTTTCTTTAGAAATCAGATCCTACACAATTTTTACAACTTCATGGGAGACCTTGTAAAATACATTTAGATCCAGCGATTGCTACAGCTGGTGATAGTCCTGCAAATATGTAAGTCCATATGTATTTTAGTATTATTAATTAATAATACATCTATCGAGAGAATATTGTTTCATTTTATAAATAAACTATAATTTAAAAAAAACAAATATTAATATAAAATTATATTTATTATTAATAAATATAAATTGTTGTTTATTATAATTAAAGTTATCATTTGTATATTTTTGCAAGCTGGTATTATTATATATAATTATATGTCATAACAAAAAATTTTTTATTTATTCTGACCATTTTAAAGATTATTTTAAAGACTACCATGGGAATAATATTTTCATATCATATATAAATATATAAATCATGAAATTGTATTTTATGTATTAAATAAGAATTTAATGAGTTATGTTAGAATATTTGAAAATTTAATTATAACAAGATATAAATAAGTAATTTCGTACGTAATATATGTGTTATATTGGTAGGATGCCTTGGCAAGGAAATGAAGACAATCTTATTGACCGATTTGATGTTCGCGCTCATCTTGATTGGATACCAGAAGCACCAGATTCTATTGATGTAGATATTGCTCTCACTAGTGAAGACAGACATATCAATTATGAACGTTATCGTATTATTGTTCAAAACGAATTTTTAGGAGGTGGGAAATTGCATTCATTTAAAATCCACATTTTATTTTTATTTAAAATTATTTGATAAATAATAGTCTTCAATGTAGTAACGGAAGAAAAATTTTTACACCAAATACATTTGGAAGAACAATTTGGTTCATCAACAAAGTTAGATTCTGCTAGGGATAAGAAGAAATCTTGTAATAATGTTGCAATTGGATATAATTATGAAACAGAAGAACCAATACCTGAAACAGTAAAATCATTGGATACTGTTATATCCGATGAAAAAGCAGATGATGAAGATAGTGATATAGATCTAGGTATAACTTTAAAAATTATAAAACTATAAATAATTATTATAATGTTTTACGTTCTATATATTATAAATTAAGTAAATTATTAAATTAGATATTTAATTTTTCTTTCTAGACATTTGTGTAGATGTATCTCAAATAGAACCATCACAAGCACATGAAATGAATTTAGTAGCTCAGAAATATGGACTTTTAGGTGCTGATTATTTCAGTTTTTTGACACAAGATTTTGAAGAAGCTGAAACATTAAGACAAGCACGTAAACAAGAAGAAGAGAAAGCTATGTATTCGGTAAAATATTTCTTTGTGTAATCCTATATTTTATCTTGCATATGTTTGTACAAGGTGTTCTGTTTATCTCGCAAAATAGAAATATCTTGCAAGAGATTCAAGTAATGAAAAAAAACGTTGCTACAAAAATTGTTTGGTATAAAGAGTATTATTATATTATCCGGTATTAATAGTATTTTTGTAAATGGAATGCTAAAACAACATTTAAGGTCGTTTTAGTTGATTTTTTTTTAATAGAATCATATAATTCTTAATGCAGTAATTTTTTTTTACGAAGAATGTTCAGATAAATCGATTGCTGCATTCAAAATTATATAATTTCGTTTAAAAAAATCAATTTGATTGAGCTCTTGAGCTCTTTCATCACTTTACTTACAGATACCAACACTGTTTGTAAGGAACATTTTTTTAAAAAAGACAAAAAGAATATTTTTTTTATAACTTCAGCTTCACACAAAATATTTACATTTCGCAAAATAAAAAGAAATATATATATATATATATATATAT